AAGAGGAAGGCCCAGGCCACCCTCTGCACACCAATCAACGGCGGAGCCCTGGCCAGGAGGGCGGGCCTCCCTCTGAGGGCGATGGATCTGTGGGCCCCTCGGTCACTCACCCCACAGAGGGAGGCCCAGGCCACTGCGACGCTGTGGTGCGTGTGCAGGGCCGGCCAGCAATTGCCCAAGCGATGGTACCCTACACCTGTCTCCCACAGAGGGCGGTGACCTGTGGTGGGGGAGGGGAGCATTCCCGCACAGACGGCAGCAGTGATAGCGGCAGGGGCAGGGCCAGCTGTTGGCAGCTGGGGGAAGGAAAGCCCCAACAGGCCCTGATCACCAGCCAGGCCTAAAGACCCTACCCAAGGGATTAGAATTGGCTTCTGTCCACCCAAAGTAGAAGCCAAAGTCTCTCCCCCACCCCTCTCTCTCTCTCTCTCTCACACACACACACACACACACACACACACACATTTCTGACCACTGACCACATTTCCCACCACTGCTTGGCCCCCTCCTTCCTGCCCCAGGGCCTGTGCACTGCCCTGCCTCTCCAGCGCATCCTCTGCCCACTGTTCCCACAGCTACCATCTTACCTCACATCTCTGCTCCAAAGACACCTTCTCAGGGCGGCCTTTCCGAACCTCCTTGTTTAAAAAGGGACTCCCCATACCCCCGCCTTCCCCACTCTGCTTTCGCTCTAGCACTCACATTTGGTTTACTTGTTCTAACTCCGTCCCCCAGGTACCGTGCGGATTCTTGTCCACTGTGTTCCCTGCTGGGGCCCCACCGCCCAGATCTGTGCCTGGCACAGAGGAGCTCAGTACAGGCGTGGGGCTTGCACAGCTGATTGCACAATAACCCCACGGGCTCCCTGCGAGCCTCTGATGGGTGACAGCACCGAGCACTTAGTGTAGCGCACAGTAGGTGCTCAGGAGAGGCGCTCCTCGCTGGGGCAGGCGGGGGCTCCCAGTGAGTGCCGCAGGGAGCATTCACATCCTGTGTGACACGCAGTGAGGCCCGGCCTGCAGGCAGGGCGGCGGTGACATGCCGGAAGCCAGGGAAGCGGAGCTCTCCTGCAGCTCAGCCTGGACCGGCCCCACCCGGCGGGGCCCTCCGTCAGGCCAGGGGGCTGCCCTTCCCGCATGGCCCTGGTCACCGGGCTGCCCAGCGGGGAGAGCGGCCTGGCTGCTCAGTCCCGGGCCTACTTCTCTCTGCCACCGCAGAAGGGCTGGGAAGGCACAGAGGGGCCAAGGCCGCAGCCCGGCAGTGGGGGCCCAGCCTGAACGTGGCCCAGGCCCTGCCCTGTCTGCCTGGAGGGGCAGGCAGTGGTGGCCAGCCAGGCTGAAACAGGACAACAGGGGACGGAAAAGCTTGCAGAGCCCTGTGGGGTCCTCGTGGCAGGTCCTATGTCCTGCTGCTGCAGCCCCCACACCACCCGGAGGGGGCCCAGAATCTCAGTGTCCCCGGGGCTTCTTGGCACGGCAGTCAGAAGGCTTCTTCGTCGGTGGAGCGGGGACCGCACCGCACTGCTCACAGCTGGCTGGGCCTGCGGCCGCGGGGGTTCATGGTGGGGCCGCGCCCGCACACCAGGGCTCCCCGCCCGGCCCTCTGCTCCTCCCAGTGCCCTCACTGCTGCAGCCCCCGGGCCCTCAGGGAACAACTCCCTGACCACGACCTCCCAGGCCCTGCCCACAAGGCAGGCCGGCAGGGACAGGCCGGCAGGCCTAGGATGGACAGCCGCTCCAGCCCCGCAGACCCAGCTCAGCAGATCAGGGCTGGCGGCCCCCAGCTGCAGCTAACTTCATTTTCCGCCAAATGAAATGAGCGCCTGCATTGGCTCACACGCACTTATTCAATTACCTTCTTGGCCCTGGAGGACTCGCAGAGAAACAGGCATAACTAAGAGGCGTCAGCAGCCCCGGGCAGTCATCCCTGCCCATCGCCCAGGCCCAGCCCTGACCTTCCTGCTGCACAGGCCGCGGCCCCGGTGTCCCACCCTCCGATCCTCCCTGGCTCCCACCGCCCACCTCAGACGGCCAGCCTCCAGCAGATCCGGGCCCCGCGGGCTCCACCTGCCCGGCTGCGGCTCTCTGGGGAGCCGGCCCCCCGCAGGCCTCTGGCTCCTCATCTGTGAAATGACGGAAACGTCTGTGTGAGCTGGCAAGTGTTGCTCTTGCAAGAGGCTGCGGTCCCAGCTCCAGGGTCAAAATGTGAACATTCCTGAAAGGGAGGAGAGACCGGGGTCCCCTCCCACCTGCCCCACCACCCTCTGCAGAGCCTGAAGATGTCCAGGAACGCCACATCTCCTGTGCCACGTCTCCTGTGCCTCCGTGCCATGAGATTCTGTTCCTCTCACTGTTCCCTCCATTTCCTCTCTGCCTGCACCTTCAAGGCCCACCCTGGGAGCCCCGCCCCGCCCCGCCCCTGGGGAGCCCGAAGCCCAGCCCCTCCCCAGGCAGCAGAGTTATCTTCTCCGTCCTCGGCTCCCACAGCACCTCTATGTGCCTCTGTGGTTCCTGGGGCTGTCCCAGCTCAAATGCCGTGGGCCACTGTCCCATACCCACCTGAGGGCCTGGGTCTGAATTCGGGGCTGGAAAGTGCAGTCCCTGTGGTCCCGCCCTGACTGAGGCCATCCCACCTGAGGCCTGCTACATTTGTAATGCTAACGGCAGCCAGTACTGGGAGGCCTGTGTCCGGTCAGACCCTGTGCTAAATGCGTTTTACTAGCATTCTGTCATTGAAATGCCACTGTAACCCTAAGAACATGGCCCCTCTTTATAGAAGAGGAAGCAGGCTCAGTGAGACTAACATGCTTGTCCAAGGTCACATCACCAGGAAGTGGCAGCAGCAGCTCTGAGAAGGTCCTCCCCTCTGCAGCCTGCCCGGTCTCTGCCCTCCTGTCAGATGGAAGATGGCAGCAGGCGGCCTCTGGGACGTGCTGGGAGTTCATTTCTCTCTGGTCGCTGTCCAGCCCCAATCCCACCAGCACGGGGCTGGCGTGCGGGAGGCTCCCAGGACTGGTGGTGACATCGCCGCCTCCTAGTCCAGGGTGCCCCACCAAGGGCTCAAGGTCACCCCCGCATACTCTCCTCAGATTCTGGGGTTCCCTGGGCAGGTGGAGGCCAAGGAGTAGGAAGTGGCTTCTGTGTGTGGCTTGGGGCCCTTCTCCCCCAAGGGGAGCCAACAGGAGCCCAGCCAGAGCCGGCCAGGATCCAGCTAGACGTTCCAAGGTGGGTCAGGAACCGGGACTCTGCTGGGGAGCCACCAGCCTCCTCTGGACAGCGACCCCCGAAGCTCACGCTCCACCCTGGCTTTCTAGGGAGGGAGGAGGTGGCCCAGCCCCTCAGGGGAAACTGGGGGTGCAGGTGAGTGAGTTCAGTGCATCAACCATCTCTGGGAACTTGCTGTGGGCACCCAATGCTTGTGTGAGGTCCCTCAGTGCCCAGACTCTGGGCAGAACCCTCTACCTGCCCTCCCCAGCGCCCCCATTCCCAAAGACCCACTAATTAGGACACACCTGTTCAGCCCCAAATGCTTCCCGAGTTGAGGCACTCACACCCACACTTGAATGAATACTTGTACAAGTACACACTCATGCTGGTGCGCACACATGTGCACTCACACTGCACTCACACATGGCTGGACACAGCAGAATGAGAACAGCAAAAAAACAGAAACAGTAACAAGAGAATGTGAGAGAAAAGGACAGCCGGAGAAATAAGGACCAGGCAGGAGGGGAGACAGAGAAGTGTGGGTGCTGTAGACGGAGTGCGCTCTCCCTCCCCTGGCACCTCCACTCCGCTCTTGGAGGCCCCGCAGGGCAAGGCCAGGGAAGGCGGTGTGCCCCGCTGGGCCTGGCACAGGGAGGAGGCAGCCACGCTGTGTACCAAGGAAAGGGAGTGATGACATGTCCAGGAACTGTCGTCTCCAGAGCGGAAAACTGGGTGTGAGGGCCCCGGGGGGGGGGGGGGGGGGGGGGGGGCGTAACAGGAAATGCCAGGTCGCCGCTGGCCCTTGGCAGGGGGCTGTGTGTATTTGTGTCTCGGATCACATATCAGGGGCCCAGAACTATTGTTAGTGAGTGGATAAGAAGTCAGTGTGGTGTCTGGCTCTTTACAACAACAAAACAGCCACAGAAACCAGGTCCTGGCACGTGGCCTGACCCTCCAGGCCCTGGCCCGGCTCAGCCCCTCACTGCCACCCTGGCACACTTCAGACCCTCCAGTATGTGGTCCAGGCTCACCCAGACCTGAGCTGTCTCCGCACCCCGAGGGCCGCTGGCCCAGCCAGTGGAGGTTCTAGGGCTCCCAGGACTTTCCCAGCCAGGTGGGGAGGGAGCAGGGGGGACGGGGGGGCGCGGGAAGGAGGCCACGCCTTCTTTTCCAGGGCCAGGCTGGGCAGTGCCAGGGACCGAGCAGGCAGGAGGCTTCCCGGCCGCCTGGTGAAATGCGACCTTCCGCCCTGGCTGGGGGTCAGGGGCATGGGATCCTCCACTCACTTTAAACGGGGCCTCAGGACACCAGCCCCCTCACGCCGCGGGCGCAGCCCTGTCTGAGTGGGGAGGACGTGGGGCGGGGCGGGAAGTCCATCACAGGAAGGGCAGCTGGGCGGTGGGCGGTCAGCCCCTGCTGAGGCCGTCCCAGGACACCTTGTACTTTGCTGCTAAGACATCTGTTGCGCAGCTTGTGCTGTGCCAGGCCCGGAGTGGGTGCAGGCACACTGGGCGGACAGCTGGCCTGGGGAAAACCCCTGGGGCAAACGCAGAGAGGTGGGGACGAGGGTGGGGCAGGGAGACGGGGGCGGGGGGCGGGGGGGAGAGAAAATGTGACTCCCACCCTAGCCTTGCCTCATCAGCTAAGGATCAAAACACAACCAGGGGCCTTGGCAAGTGGCCTTGGCTGCCAGGACCTGACATCAGCCGGGCAGCGGGGCAGCCCTCCCCCCGGCCCACTCCCCCTCCCCCTCTGCCTCCGTCCCCTCCTGCCCAGGGCAGCTAGCACCAGCTGGCCAGCGGGGTGCGCCAGGCCTGCCAGCTCAGGGTCAGGTGACCTCCCCGCCCGGCCACCACAGCCTGGCCCTCTGCGCAGACCTCTCCACGCTGCCACCGTGGACAGTGGCTCCTCCCCGGGCCCGGGAAGGCCTGTGCCCGCCGCCCTCAGCAGGCCGGACCCCCCTCCACGCTCTCGCTGTCCCGGAAGGAGCCCTGGTGAGTGCGGCCTGGGGGAGGCGTGGGCGTGGGCGTGGGCTCGCTGCCCCTGACGGGGCCACCGGTCTGAGGGGGCCTCGCCTCCATCCAAGCTGATTAAGCATCTGCCCGGGGAGGTGGCAGTGTGTCTGTGTGTCTGTCTGTGTACGTGGGGGGCAAGTTCCAGCAGTTCAGCAATATAGAAATTCTGTCATTTGCTTCTCTCCCATCTTGGCCCCCTCCCCTGGACTAATTCCCACCTCTGCTTCCTGCGGCCCCTGCAGGAAGGCAGGGTATGGGGTGCTGAGCTGAGTGTGGGTGCTGGGCTGAGCAGGGGAGGGTGCTGGGCTGAGTGGGGGTGCTGGGCTGAGTGGGGGAGGGTGCTGGGCTGAGGGGGGTGCTGGCTGAGCGGGGGAGGTGCTGGGCTGAGAGGGTGGGGGTGCTGGGCTGAGGGGGGTGCTGGGCTGAGGGGGGGTGCTGGGCTGAGGGGGGTGCTGGCTGAGGGGGGGAGGTGCTGGGCTGAGTGGAGGTGCTGGGCTGAGTGGGGGTGCTGGGCTGAGTGGGGGTGCTGGCTGCGCAGGGCGACAGAGGAAGCTGTAGGGGCAGGGGCAGGGCTGGAGCCAATGGTTCACACTCGGCGCTGGGTTTAACCCTTAGCAGAGCAGCTGTCCCAGGAGTGGCACTGTCCCCTGGGCCCAGGAATGTCCTGTCCCCGCAGCCTCACCCTTCGCGGGGGGACCACAGGGCTGGGATGACATCAGCGCTGTGGCTCCAGCGCTTAGAGCCGCGGGCTATTGTTTTACTGAGAGGGACTTGAGCCTGCAGGGAGCTGTAAGCAGCACTTGCCTAGCCCACCCCTGGAGGTGAAGACCCCACTCCTGGAGCTAAAGCGTAGATGTGTTTGGCCGTGTTTGCTTAACCAGCCAGCCCAGCTCGGGCCGAGTGTTTGAAATAATTTGTAGACGTCCCAGCGCCCCACCCCAGCAGGCCCTTCCACCGCAGGCTGGGACACCCCAGCTCCTCCGGAGCCTCCCTCCCTCCCGACCTGGAAACGCCTGCCATGGCCTCTGGCCCCCGGGCCCTTCCAGCAGCAGCTCCCCGCTCTCTCCCGCTCCCAGCAGGCCCAGCAGGCCGTGAATAACTCCTTTCCCGGCAGAACCCCCGAGCTGTCTTGTTGACCAGCAGCACAGGGACCAATCGAATAGGGCTCCCCAGGCAGCGACTGGAGGTGTGTGTTGGGGGGGCGGGTAAGGCAGGGAGGGGTGTGGGGTGGGAGGGCAGGGAGGGGCCACACCAGCCCCACTGCGGCCGCCCTCACCTTATGCTGGTTACTCTTCCTCCTCCCGCTGTGGGACCTGCCGGCCCCAGGGGACCTGTTGAGTGGAGGTACTGACTTGGTCCACTCTGCTCAGATGTGTCTCCAGCACCCTCACCCCATTTCTTCCCTCCCCGAAAGCCGGGGTGTGCAGTGCCCCGGAGCACATACAGGAGGAATTGATAGATGTTTTTCTCTCACATCAATGTTTCTCTCCTCTCTCCCTTCATCTCTCTAAAATCAATGAAAACATACCCTTGGGTGAGGATTGAAAACAAATAAAAATAAACACCCTTTAAAAAAAGAAAAAGCAGGGGTGGCAAGCAGGGAGCCTGAGGTGATCAATCTTGTCAACTTCTGAGCTAAAACGGGCGTCTGGGCTGCCTGAGGGCTGCCGAGAGCCAGGCTGGTCAGGAATGTGCCTGGTGCCAGGGGACCCGCGGTGGTTGTGGCTGAGGTTTTGGCTGCTCCCTCTGGCGGGCCGTGGCGGCGGCTGCCCTCTGCTGGCGAAAGGCTTGCTCGCTCACCCCTTTCTCCCCGGTAGGCTCCCTCTGCAGCTGGCCCGTTCACTCTGTGGCCTGAGGACCTCACACTCACACACACACACTCACACACTCACACACTCACACACACACACACTCACACACTCACACACACACACACACACTCACACACACACACACTCACACACTCACACACACACTCACACACTCACACACACTCACACACTCACACACTCACACACTCACATACACACACACACACTCACACACTCACACACTCACACACACACTCACACACACACTCACACACTCACACACACACTCACACACACACACTCACACACACTCACACACACACACTCACACACTCACACACACACACTCACACACACACACTCACACACACACTCACACACTCACACACTCACCACACACTTGCACGGCACCCTTGCTCCCCTGTTGTGTCTTGACCTTAAACAGCAGTTTCTCTTGCGGCCGCAGTAGCTGTGCTCCCCGTGGGCCAGACCTTCCACCTCGGCTCCATGTCTCCACGAGGTGGCGGCTGCTCAGACCCTTGGGCCTGAGGGAAGGGGGAGGTGGGGTGGGTGGGTGCCCGGAGTCGGGAGTGTGAGGTCTGGTGTGGCAGTGTCCAGGCTCTGGGTGTGGCTTCCAGGGGGTGTGCTGGCTGTCTGAGGGGGGATATGTTAGGGGGCGGAGAAGCCCCCCCCCCGCCCCGGTCCCCCAGAGCGGCCCTCCTGCGCTGGCGTCTGAGCCAGCCGGCCCCGTGCTCCGTGACAGCCTGCTCAGAGCACTGCCGTGCTGCAGCAGTCGCCCTATAAAGTCACATTCGGTCCCAAGCTGGAGGAACATAGGGAGATTTTAAATGTTAAGACAAAAGGAGAGACTCTTCTCTGAAGGGACAGAACCAGCCCGGACGTGAGTAGCTGCCGCTGAGGACTGGCTCTGCGGTAGAGCCTGGACTCGGCCCCCTGGGAGGCTACGAGGGGGGTCCCCCCGGGTCCAGGCAGGACAGGCCCACAGCCCCCGAGTCATTTTAGAACGGATTAACAGGTGCCTTTTCCTCCGGAAATCATCCTGTGCTTTCCCCCGGGACGGCCCGCTCACCACCTGAGCGGCTCCCCACGGCTCCCGGCCCCTCCTCCCTCACGATGGAAGGTGCTCCGGCATCGCGGGCGCTGAATGGTGCCTGCGCCGGCCTCTGGCCCCGAGAGGCCTTCGGGCGGGCGGCGGGCCTCAGAGGCCACGGCTCCGCTGTGAACCCGCAGGCCACACCTGCCGAGTTTCAGATCTCGGTCTTCCATGGCCTGTCCCCTCCCAGGATGCCCCTCCTGGGCTTATAGGGAGCTGGCCCCCAAGGCTCCACCCGCGATCGCAGCGCCCCTCCTCCCTGCAGTGAGCGCGGGGACAGGCTCCTCTGATCGCACGGCAGCTGCCCTCTGTCCCCTCACGATGTCCAGCAAGTGTGGGGCCATGAACCCGGCCAGGCCCCGCAGCATCCTGCCTCTCCTCCCCGAGCAGCCTCCCTCCTCCCTGCGGCTCCCTGCACACAGACAGCCCCCACCACCACCCCCGCCCCCACCACCACCCCCCGGGCCAGGCCGACACCCCTCCCCCTTCTAACTAGGCCCATTTTCAGCGTAATGTTTCCCTACGAGTCCCCCTGCGATACTCATTACACTTTTAGTATCTGTTGATTGAGAAAATAGATGATGATAAAAACGCCTAGGAATGTAATAATGCCTTTAAATGAATTTGTATCTCGGTAATCACCCAAGCGCTGGCATACACTTGAGAAATGATGGTGCTCCGTGGCTGTGTGGAGTCTGCAGAGGAGGCGGGTGCTGCTGCGGCTCTGGGCAAGGCCTCCACAGGCTGGCGGGCACCCTCACCCGGGCACCGATAGCCCACCTGCCCGCTCCCGGGGAGCGTCCAGGCGGCATGCTGCCCGCTGTGGCCCCGCACGCCCAGCGGCCAGGGTCCTGAAAGGCTCCCAGGTCTGATGTCCACCGCCGAGGCACAGCGCGTGGAGGGGCCTGGGACAGGACGCTGGCCTGAGCGCCTGCTTGGGACCCGGGACCCAGAATCCAGAGGGAGATGCGCCAGGGGCAGGCGAGGCTGTGAGGTCTGTGTCGGAGGCGTGGGGGCCTCGTCGGAGGGCGTGAGGGCCCTGTCAGGAGCGTGAGGTCTGAGTCAGAGGCGTGAGAGCTGCGTAGGGGGCGTGAGCGACACGTCGGAGGGCGAGAGGACCACGTCAGGGGTGTGAGGTCTGTGTTGGAGGGAAGGGCATGAGGTCCGTGTTGGAGGTGGTGAGGGCCTTGATGGAGGCATGAGGACCGCATGAGCACCGCGTCGGGGGTGTGAGGGCCATGTCAGAGGCGTGAGGGCTGTGTCGGAGGCATGAGGGCCGGGTCGCAGGCCGTGAGGGCCGGGTCGGAGGTCGTGACGGCCGCGTTAGAGGCGTGAGGGCTGTGTCGGAGATTGTGAGGGCCTGGTCGGGGGCATGAGGGCCGCATGAGGGCCGAGTCGGAGGCGTGAGGGCGGCGTTAGAGGCGTGAGCTCTGTGTCGGAGAAGAGGGCATGAGGGCTGTGTCGGAGGCGTGAGGGCCGTCTCAGGCGAGTGCCTCGCCTGCCCTCCCAGACCAGGCTGAGTCAGCTGAGAGTCCCCCACGCAGTGATGGGCACGCGTGGGGACGCGGGAAGAGGCCTCCCTGGAGCATCGTGACCAGGCCGAGGCGGTGGGAGGGAGCCCAGTGCGTCCCGGGGCCTCGGCCAGCTGGGGGGCCGGGCAGACGGCTCCTGCTCCCTGCCCAGTGCTGTGAGGACAGACCCAGGGCCCAGAGGCGCTGAGCCCGGCCAAGGCCCGCGCCAATGACGAGGGCCTGCGCACCAAAGGGAGGCCTGGGCCCAGAGTCTGCGGGTTGAATTAGTTCCTGGGACTCCGAGGGGCAATGGGGATGGAGGCCTTCCCTGGCATCGTCCCAGAGCAGGAGGCTGCACACCAGACAGAGAGGAAACCTCCGGCTTCTTGGGAATCCAGGGTCAGCTTCCTCCGCAGAAGGTGGTCCGTGCTGACGCCATGCCCGCTGCCCTCCCGCCACTCCTGCTCCCCAGCCCGTCAGCCGGTCTGAGGAGACGTCTCCTAGATACACGCAGGGAGGACCCTTGAGAGAAAGCCTCGGCTTCCCCGGCTTCCAGGCCAGCTTTTAGAAAAGTACAGGGTGACTGCCCAGCAGACATCCGTTGCTACCACCTCGCCCCACCTAGGGCGGGAGAGCCTGGGCCCCTCCCGGCTCTGAAAGGCTCAGCCAGGGCCCCGAGGGCGGCTGGGAATGGCAGCGCCTCTCGGGTCTGTTGCGGCCCAGGCTCTAGGAGCACTGACACTCCTGAAGGTTGAGGCGAGGAGCCCACTAGCTCATCAGGGTCGGAGAGATAAGAGCTGTGACATCAACTTGGGGATAAGAAAACTTGTCTTGTCCCAGCACAGACAGCGACTTGGGGTCACTGATCAAGTCCCAGCCTTCCTGGGGCTCCATTCCTGACTCAGAGATCACAGTAGCCTCAGCCGGCCCACGGCATGGCGGGGCAGCAGGCTCTGGGCTAGTGTTCAAATCCCCGCTCTCCCCACACTAGCTGGGTGCACACGGGCAAGTTACTTAGCCTCTCTGTGCCTCATTTTCCTCGTCTGTGAAGTAGGCTGATGACACTGGGTCCCGGTGGTGGAGATGCTTTAACCGCTCATCTATGTAAAGCACCTGCAGCACTGCCGGCCCACGCAGGGGCTGTCACCGCCAGCATCACTTCCTTCCCTCGCTGCGCTGTGAGCTGCCATCCTGGGCTTAGAGCCCTCAGGGAGGTGGGGGGGGGGGGGGACGGCAGTGGCCTGTCCAGTGCAGGAGGGGGCTGTGGGGGGCTGCTGAGGCGCTGCCGGGGGTGTCAGCGAGCTGGGCCGCTTAGCTGGGCCAGCCTGGTTAGTGCTGGGCCCGACCCAGGAGACTGTGAGGGACGGGGCCCAGGTTCCTTCCAGGAGTGGCTGTAAGTGAATCTTACGATCTGCTGTCCCTCTAATGGCAGGAGAGCCTCCGCCTCTTTGCCCCAGGCTCAGGAGAGCTGGCAAAGGATGCCCCGGGCCAGCCTGGCCAGAGGAGGGGTGTCGGGCCACCTCAGTTTCTCTCTTCTTCCCAGAAGGCTTTTCTAAGCCTTCCCAGGTGGGCTCACCTCTGCAGTCTAAGAGCAGAGCAGGGGAAGGCTTGGGCTGTGGTCTTAGGCACAACCCCCCTCGCCACCAGGCCTGGCCTCCTCACCCCAAGGCCTCCCCAGCAGCCCCACCTGCACAGCCAGGCCCCAGCCACGCAGGCAGCTCCGACGCCTCACCCTGCACCCAGAAAGCAAATGCACAAACCAGGCGGAACACGCCTGCCGCTTCCTAAGGGACGGGCACTCTGCTCGGAGCAGTAGCAGATGGGAGAGGCCCCTGGGGAAGGAGAGCAGGCTGGGGTTTTCAGCGCCCTCTGGCAGGCAGCTAGGGAGGCCCAATGGGCCAGGGTCCACACACAGCGACAGGCACTGCTGTGCTGGGAGTCAGCTGGCCACTCCCCGTCTGGCTGAAGGTCGTTTGGAGGGTCCATCATGCCCAGCACCGCCCAGCCTGGTCACCTCCTGGGCCGGAGCCCCGCAGAGGGGAGTGTTAATAACGCGGCAGTGACAGGCTCCGCTGTGAGAGCGTCCTCAGGAAGTGTCTCCTGGGCACCCTCCCGAGACAAGGGCAGGACGCTGTGGGAGCTGCATGCAGCCAAGTCCCAGCATCTGCCGGAGGCCCAGCAAGCCACCCTTCGGAGGAAAGGGGAGCAGCAGCTGACGGAGGACTAGGCCCAGAGGCGGGGAGTCTGCTTTACTTCTGCCTCTGCTCCTGGACCCCAGCCAGGAGGCTCCGGCCTCGTTTTCCTCATTTGCAAAGTGGTGGTGAGAGAGCCTGCCTTTCCCAAGGCAGTAATGCCAGAAATACTCATGATCAATCACATTTATTGAGCACTTAGCTCTGGGCCCTGGGCCCACCTGTTATCTCAATTCTGCCCCTAACTCCATGATGCAGGCACCATTACGATCCCATTCCTCAGAACGCTGAGGCCAAGAGAGGTTTAGAGGCCCACGGTCACAGCAGTTACGTTGTGGAGCCAGGATGGAAATCCATGGTGCACTCTCCCTGCGAAGGTGAAGCTTCTGCGCCCAGGCCTGTGGATGCTGAGTCCCGACAGCAGAGCCCTGGGCCTGGGGCCGTGTCCCCCAGGGAGGCAGGCAAACTCTGGAACCTATAGTCATGTGTACTGTTTTTTTGTTTGTTTGTTTGTTTGTTTTTAATGTTTGAATATTTAAATGCAAAAGGTACGAAAGTATATTTACTAGTAGAGAAGTCTCCCTCTCAGCCTGCTCCCCGGGGGCAACCACTGTTCCTAGTTTCTTGTAACAAATTATTCCAGAAGTAATCGATGCCCATTTACGGTCTTGTTCACTCCCCGGGGCTCTGTGTCCCTCCCGGTGGGTGGGGGATGGGGGCTCTGTGTCCCTCCCCGTGGGTGGGGGATGGGGGGCTCTGTGTCCCTCCCGTGGGTGGGGGAGGGGGGGCTCTGTGTCCCTCCCCGTGGGTGGGGGTGAGCACTGAGAGGCTTTGTGTCCCTCCCTGTGGGTGGGGGAGGGGGGCTCTGTGTCCCTCCCGGTGGGTGGGGGTGAGCACTGGGGGGCTCTGTGTCCCTCCCCGTGGGTGGGGGATGGGGGCTCTGTGTCCCTCCCGGTGGGTGGGGGATGGGGGCTCTGTGTCCCTCCCCGTGGGTGGGGGATGGGGGGCTCTGTGTCCCTCCCGGTGGGTGGGGGATGGGGGGCTCTGTGTCCCACCCGTGGGTGGGGGATGGGGGCTCTGTGTCCCTCCCGGTGGGTGGGGGATGGGGGGCTCTGTGTCCCTCCCGGTGGGTGGGGGATGGGGGCTCTGTGTCCCTCCCGTGGGTGGGGGATGGGGGCTCTGTGTCCCTCCCGTGGGTGGGGGATGGGGGCTCTGTGTCCCTCCCGTGGGTGGGGGATGGGGGCTCTGTGTCCCTCCCGGTGGGTGGGGGATGGGGGGCTCTGTGTCCCTCCCGGTGGGTGGGGGATGGGGCTCTGTGTCCCTCCCGGTGGGTGGGGGATGGGGCTCTGTGTCCCTCCCCGTGGGTGGGGGAGGGGGGGCTCTGTGTCCCTCCCCGTGGGTGGGGGTGAGCACTGAGAGGCTCTGTGTCCCTCCCCGTGGGTGGGGGTGAGCACTGAGAGGCTTTGTGTCCCTCCCTGTGGGTGGGGGATGGGGGCTCTGTGTCCCTCCCGGTGGCTGGGGGTGAGCACTGGGGGGCTCTGTGTCGCTCGCGTCACTTCCGCCCTCCTCTGCTCTCCAGGGGCCCGCCGTCCACCGCTGGGAGGAAAGCTGTGCTATGAGAGCGGCCAAGGCCCAGGAGAAAGGTGGGGAGCTCTGACGCCCGGCCTTCTGTCCTGGAGCTTCAGCTGCTGCCTCAGGACATGGTTGTGCAGGACAGTGCGGCCCCCGGGGACGCCGGGCGGGTGCTCCTGCAGCCCTTCCTGCACCAGGTGGGGGGGCACCTGAGTGTGATGCAGTACGACGAGGACACCGTGTGCAAGCCCCTGGTCTCCCGGGAGCAGCGCTTCTACGAGTCCCTGCCGCTGGCCATGAGGCGCTTCACCCCACAGTACAGAGGTGAGTGTCCGCGCAGACGCGCTGGGGCCACCGCACTGGGCCGGCCGGTCTGGTGTGTGTGGCGGTTGCCGTGGAGACATGCCCTTCTCCCGCAGCCAGTTCGCTGGCCTAGTTTCTCAGAACTTCGAGTTCCGGGTCTGGAGTATAATAGCAATTGGAGTCCTTCCAAATTAGCTCAAGCACCGGCTTCGAGGAATTAGGAACTGAGTGAAGTGGGCGCGCGGCTGGGCTTGGGAGCGCGTGGCTGGGAAACACAGGGCAGGGCAGGCGGGGCCTCCTGCCCGGGCCTAGGACAGGACAAGGCGGGGCTGGGGCACCACACCGCAGGTTTAGGAAGGCTCGTCCAGGGCAAAGCAGGGGCGTGGGCTGCCTCCAGCAGGACCTGGGGAGGCGGGCACGGAGCATGTGTATTCTGCCCTGAGCACCAGGGGGCTCTGGAGGAGAAGGCTGGCCGGGGCTGCCCACACGGGCCCAGGCAGGACCTCCCGGCAGAGCCTCGGCTGTGGTCCACGCCCAGCCTTCTGTACATGAGGTTCCCGGGCCCAACCAGGCCTGCCAGCCCCAAGCCCGGTGGCATGCAGACTCAGCAAAAAGGCCTCCTTTAGAGGGTCCAGATGTGACCAGGTGTCCAGAGTGCATCGCAGTGATTGAGAGCCTGGGGGGGGCTATCTACATCGGCGCCCCAGTGCGGCTGATCTCACACTGCACCCGAGTCGCTGGGATTGCGGGGAGTGGGGGAGAGAGAGAAGGGACATGCAGGTTCCCAGGGTCCACCCCAGACCTGGGAATCAGAACACCCCATTTGAGACCACTGATTGGGGGCCCAGGCCTGAGCCCTGGGCACTGCTTCAGTCTGGCCTGCCGGGCCCTCCTGAGAGTCTGAGACTGGATGATGGCATCAGACACTAGACGGGTGGGGGTGAGCCTGGGCGGGCCTCCCCTGGGGCCTTCTGGGGCTCCGTGGTCACTGCCCATCTTGTCAGAATGAATGTCTGTCCTTTTGAGACAACTCAACCCAGAAAGGGGTGGCAGGTCCTTTATGGGTGGCCTCCTGCCAGTGGCATTTCACGCTTCCACACAGCTCTGGAGCGCAGGCCCTGGCGAGGCAGGAGAGTGAGCGAAGCTGCCATCCCCGTCCCATCCCCATGTGCCCATCCTCCAGGGTGAGACTGCACCACCCTCGGGCACCAGCCTACTGTCCACCCCACCCCTGCCCTGACTGTCCCTTGGGCGGGCCCATCCCATATCCAGCCGGCTTGGGGCTCTGCTAAGGTGATAGCAGAGCTACACACGTCACCAGCCACGGGACCTTCTGTCCCCGCCCTGGGCTTCCCTCTGGAGATGGTGTTTCCTGACATCTGCTTCAGGGAACCACAGACACCGCCCAGGTGAGACCACGCAGCCCTGCGGAGGGGGAGGGGGCAACACCCAGTCTGAGGTCCAATGACACAGACACGCTGACCCATTCACGAGCACCACTCGGGGCCCACTTAAGGAAACTCACACCTACAGACACTGGAGTGGGCCCCGGGGGACCCTCGCCCTCAGTGCAGGGAGCTGAGGTGGGGAGAGGGAAGGGGACCCTTAGGGCTCTCGGCTGGGCACGTCATCTCACACTAGAGTCCCATCTGCTCACCCTTGGTGGTCCCTCGGTGCCCAGCACAACTCCCTGTGCAGTCTGCGGGTACAGACCCAATCCTCACAGCAGCCCTCCGTGGTGGGGACCAGCAGCCCCATTTCCCAGGTGAGGGCACTGAGGCAGAGAGGTCACCTGACTTGCCTCAGGGCACAGCCAGTGGGAGGCAGAGCCGGGATCCAAAGCCTCAAGGTCTGACTCCCAAGTGAAGCTCTGGCTCCTGCAGCTACTCTTGCTGAAGAGATGGAGTCCCCAGATCCAGTGCCAGGGCCGCCCAGCCCAGGGAGGGAGGGATGGGACGTGCCTGGGGCCACTGAGCTAGCGACCTCCGGTGCCACTCCAGTGCCTACAGGCTGCTATGGGGCCTCCCTTTTCCTCCCCAATCGGAGAAGAGCCCCGAGTGAGGGGCTGTTTCTGAAGCAGCCATTGTGTGCCATGGGGCACGCCTCTGCCTGTCACCACCGCCGGCACTGAGATGGCCTCGGGGCTGCCGGGACCTCACTCCCAGGTGCAGCCTCCCGACCAGGCGCTCACCCTGGGCTTTTGCTGGCTCCCGGTTGTGACAGCGTCTTGGGGCTGCGTGCCTCTGCCTGCCAGCCTGCCCGCCGGCTTCGGGTGAGTGAGGACACGCTCGGGGTCTAGCTGGCTCATGGATGAGCCTGGTTCAGATTACAGACAGCGAGCGGCCAACAAAGGCTCTCATGAGCTTAAAAATAAACACATGACAGAATTTTCACGGCGGAGGAAGCTGCTCAGCTAAACCAAAACTGCTGAGACAGTGGCGTGGCGATAGTGGCAGGGGGCACCGTCTGTCCAGCTGGCACGGCGGCAGGTCGAGCTGCTTGGGGGGACTGGGGAGCATGCAGCCGGGGCTCCCCAGGCAGGGGCAGCATTCTGGGAACCCATGGGCCTCTGAGGCCTCGTCCCCATGGACACACAGGGCAAGTGGGAGGCCAGGCCTGGGAGGCAGAGCTGTTGAGGAAAAGAACCAAGTCTCTAGCAGACTGGATTCCACCGACACCCTGCTCCCGTCAAGGAGGCCGTCAAGGAGGCAGCTCGAGACTGCTCCAGGGCCTGATCTGCGCCAGGCCTCAGAAGGAAGGGCCGGGCTGAGCCAGGGAGCGGAGTGGGGGGAGAGCAGGCAGGCCAACGGAGACAGAGCCAGAGCCAGAGGCGCGCAGGAAGACGAGCGAGGAGGCAGGGACACGAGCCTGGGTGTAGCTCCGGAGATACAAGAAACAGAGATGACTGGATTTTGTTGGCTTGGGGTTATTTGCACCTCAGCTCGCCTCCATCTGTTCAGACACTCAGCACAGATGAGATCAGACAGAGCTGGAGCCTGAAGAAGCAGGTGAAGGGCACACTCTTATCCCTCAGGCCCAGGCTCCAGGGCTGGTTTCTGGCAGGGCCCTCACCACAGCCGCCTCGGTGGGAAAGGCCAGGGGCCGCCTGACGGTAACTTGACCTTCATGAGACCCAGGAGGGCCTTGCCCTTGGCCACACACCTCCTGGCTCCAGGCAGCCAGCAGGCTCTGAGCACCCAAGGCCAGTCATGGAGCAAGTGAGCTCACCCCTTCTCACGTGGGGAGAGGGTGGGCTCAGGCCCGAGATGGTGTCCAGGCCAGTGTCCCGCCCTAGAACAAGCATGACCCCCACCAAGGACCCAGGGCTGGCCACCTCCCCGGCCCCGGCTTCCTGCGGCTCCCAGCGCAGCAGCGCCTCACAGCACGGCGGGGCGCAGCCTGCTGGCTCCACAGACAGGATGGCCAGGACGAACATGACCGGGAGGGCGGGTGTCCTCGGCCACACGTGGGTTGCCCTATGACCGCACGGCGCCTCCCAGGAAAGCCTCGGCCCCCTGGGACAGCTGTCCTCCTTCCACAGCCAGGTGGGGGCGGCTCCTCAGGGCGCCAGGCCTCCGACCTTGGGCAAGGTACTCAGTCTCTCGAGGCCCCTGACCGTAGCGTTGGTAACAGGTGAAGGCCCACGAGGCCGCGCAGGGTGTGGCAGTCACTGCGGGGACGATGGGGTCGCAGTCCTTGCCTGCCGCTGCCCTGCTCTGCGGGCTTGGTCTCCAGGAAAACTGAACTGTGGGGTTCGGTACAGCATTACCGTTAGGGTCACTGGCTTTACAGCCCGGGTGAGCTGAGGAGAGCAGAGTACGTATTTATAGGAGCTGGAGGAAATGAACGTCACTCTCGGCCTGCAGAATGAGGGCACCAGGAACCTGAGGTGGCAGGACCCCCGGGACGGCGCTGGCTGGGCAGATGGCTCCGGAGAGCGGCTGCTGAGTTAGGGGACAGCCTGAGTGTCCGCCCAACCAGCCTCGGAGGGCCAGGCGGGACGCAAGCAGGAGCTCAGCTGCCTTCAGAGTGGCTTCCACGGCGTTACCTTGAATGCTGACAAGGTGGCCCTGTGGCCAGGCAGGAAAGAAATATCCGGAAGCCCAGGCAGCCCGCCTCAGTCAGGGACCAGCAGAGGATGAGAGGCCCCTGCAAAGGGCTGACGTGAGGAGCATGCTTTAAAGGAGCCATTAGCACAGGGGCTCAGGAACCACAGGGACCCCGGAAAGCTGTCACCCCCAGGTCTGCAGGCCGAGTGCGGACCACAGCACTGAGACCTGGCTCTCCCAAAACCTTGCGCGGCGGTCTCCTGCGCCATGACCAGGAGGGCCAGCACCCGCTGCCGCCAGCCCCAGGCACGGAGGCCGGGACTCTGCCACGGGAGTGAGAAACCCAAAGGGGCTGCGAGCCGTGACCGGCCGGCCGGGCTGATCACCCGCGTGGCCGCGGGCGGCGGAGCCCAGTCAGCGCGGCTCGCTGGATTTGCTCGCCCGCCACTCCCCGGGAGGAGGGGACGTCCAGCCTTAGTTGCACCGCCAGTGGCCGGGAGGCCCTGTGAGCTGGGGCATCTCTCAGGCCCAAAGCACCACACTCCTCCCACCATCTTCATGGGCCGAGCAGCTACTAGTAACCAGAGGAACCGTGAGCCCCGCTGTCCAGGCCAGAGAAGGGGAGGGTGGATGAGCAGGAGCCCTGCAGGCTTGCCTGATACCAACGAGGGAGAGAGAGGACGATGGAGGAGACACAGATCAGGGGCAGGAAGGAATGCCCCCCCTCCCTGCCACTCTGGCGGGGGTCCCTCTTGGCAGACCAGTTCTGACGCCCCGAGGTTGGGCCAGCTGGGCAGCTGTGGTGTGACTGGGAAGGGGTGGCTGTGCACAGAGGGCCTGGGATGCGAGGACAGAATGTACAGGCTGCTTTGTTCAATGCATGAAGGCACAGACAAGCGCCCAGAGCAGAGGCTGTGCCAAGGTCAGCTCGCGGCTATTTCCGAGGGCTCCAGCTCTGGGCTTCTGGAGCAGGTCAGGTTCAGGCTAAACCAGGCCGTGCCCATCGCTCTTGCGTGAGAAAGGAGCTGGGAAAAGGGAAGGGTGACCACCACCATTAAACTGCTCAGCAGGGTGCCGCCCGACACTTGTCATCCCCTCTGGTTCCTCCAACCCCCCCCCCCTCCATGTGCTCCGCAGGCACCATCACGGTTCACCTACAGAAGGACAGCCTCGGCCACCTCAGCCTGGTCGCCAGCCCCCTGCGGGAGAACCGGGAGTCCTTCAAGGTCTCCGCGGGGCCGGCGGTGGTGGCGATATGGCAGAAGCTCCAGCAGACCAGCGGCGGTGGCGGCAGTGGTGCGGGGACCCTCTCCCAGTGGCATCACGCCCAGCTGGCACGCGCGCTCCAGGAGAGGTGAGGCCACTGGCGGATGGCAGAGCTGGGAGCTCGTCCCCAGCGGGACCAGCACCGCTCCCTCCTGTGCGAGGGCCCAGGGCGCCCAGGAGGCCGGGCGGAGCGCGAGAGCCTGGTGAGGCTCTGTCCAGACAAGAGGGCGCCATTGTCCGTGCCTCTGGAGGGAGGGCTGGGGCGCTCACCGGGCACCTGGTGAGCATGCAGGGCCCCAGGCAGAGCAGGCGCTCTGTGCTGTTTGCTTAGTTAAGTTCCTGTTTCACGGAGACCATGAAGCGTCTCTGGGCAGAAGCCCGGAAGAGCGGAGATGAGGGAAGGGCGGCCCCTCTCGGAAACCACCTTTCCTCAGCAGACAAGGCGGAGGGAAGGCCCCGGAGAGTCTCCAAACCCTGGACCTTTTCCAGATGAGAAGGATTCCTGGGGGTTAATGTCCGTGGGAAAATGCAAGCTCTTACAAGGAAATCTCCCTTCCCCGAGGAGCACCGCAGAGCCAAGTCGGCTCAGTCAGGAAGCCAGGCCCATTGTCTCAGTTCACAGCCAGCCAGGTGCAGCGGGCAGGAGAACGGCCCAGGACCACGCCCCCCTCCCCATGGCACTTTGAGGGCTCAAGGGGAAGGCCTCAGCCCTGCCTCCTGGCTCCTGGGGCTGCTGTCCCTCAGTGCCTGCCCCCAGTGAGACCCTCTGAGGGCGGACTTTACACCCCCGCTGAGGGCAGGCTGCAGCTGGCCAGCCCAGGTGCCGGAGCGGTTGGGCAGGAAGGGCATCCGAGGCCCCGTCGTGTCCTGCAGAGGAGCCAGGGGCCATCAGGGTCAGACTCCAGCCCAGGAGGGCCCCGCAGTCACAGGGGAGGACCCCCTCCAGGCCTCGGGCCCGGCCCTGACTGTCCTGTGCTCCCTCCGCGGCAGCCCAGCCACTGCACTCCTGAGGTCCGAGTTCCACCTCAGCACCCACGTCGCCTTCCTGGTGGAGGATGCTAACGGGAACCAGGCCAAGAGGGGGAGCTTCAACCCGTGGGGTCTGCACTGCCACCAGGCCCACCTGACCCGCCTCTGCACTGAGTACCCAGAGAACAAGCAGCACCATATCCTTCCAGCCTCCCTGCCACGGGGCCCAGGGCAGGAAGGCGCACCTATGAAGAGCGTGTGTGGGGGGGGGGGGGGGGGAGGCTGGGGATGGGAGGGGACTGAGGGGGCAGTGAGGGAGGCAGGAGCCCTCAAACCTGGGACCTAGGGAAAAAATCAGTTCTTTCCCAAAACAAGTCAGAGATGATGTGAGAACCAGACTGGGAATTGGGTGGAGCCTAGTGCCCTGGTGCCCTGTGTCTGCCCCAGCGCTGGGGCCTCTGTGGGCAGATGGGAATGGCGACTGCCAGGCTGGGTGGGGATGACGGGGCCTCAGAGGGCTGGGTGGGTCCCCTGCACCACACACCCCCCACCCCCGCTCCTCCCTGCGCTTGGGCGCTGTGTCCAGGATTCGCTAAGACCCACCTGCAGCCCTAATCCCAGAGAGGCTTCAGCAGGATGATGCCTCCACTAAATTAATATCCCTGCAACCCACCTCCCCACAGGGACTGGCCCACTTAGTGACTAGGCGTTTAGCCTATGATTTCCTGCCATAAAGTAAAGTGGGCAAAGCCTGCCAGGATAGCAGGCCTGCGTTTAAACTCCAACCTCAGCGCAAAGGGAGAAGCGTGCCTGCTCACAGCTCCCTGAGGGTGGGCTGTGAAGCGACCTGCGTCTCTCCCTGGTGCGCATGGCCCGGCCCCGGAGGGAAAGCCCTTCGCAGGACCTGCCTGCCTCCGCGGGCGCCTCTGGCCTGGGACCTTCCTTAACCAGCGTGCCCAGGGTTCCTGCTGCTGGAAAACGTCGTGTCACAGTACAAGCACCCCTGCGTGCTGGACCTGAAGATGGGGACCCGGCAGCACGGGGACGACGCCTCCGAGGAGAAGAAGGCCCGCCACATGACGAAGTGCGCGCAGAGCACCTCGGCCTGCCTGGGCGTGCGCATCTGCGGCATGCAGGTGGGTGCAGGGGCCCGCAGGTCCAGGCGGGCACGGTGCCGCCACCCGGACACCAGGCTTTGAGGGAGCATCAGAGGAGGCAGCCGGGCACCCCTCTTCCCCAGGGAAACATCCTGTCTGATACGCTGGGTCTTTAAAGAGCGCCTCTCAGGACAGTGGTGCCAACAGTCTTGGGCAGCTGAGACCCAGAGGCCACGCAGTCCTGCCGCGGGGAGAGCAGAGCTCTGAGGGCAGTGTGAGCGCAGGGGCTGGGAAGATGGGAGAAAGAGCTCTCTGTTGATTCCGCGTTCTCTGACTATGAACTCCGCCTTCCCAGATACTTACCATAAGGCAGTCTGTCTCCAAGTTGTGTTTTTGTTTTTTTAATATATTTTTATTGATTTCAGAGAGGAAGGGAGAGGCAGAGAGAGAAACGTCAACAATGAGAGAGAATCATTGATCAGCTGCCTCCTACACGCCCCTCACTGAGGACTGATCCCACAACCTGGGCATGTGCCCTGATAAACTTGACCTTCTGGTTCATAGGTCGATGCTGAACCACTGGTGGGCATGTCTCTGAGTTTTTATTAGAAGTTCTCTCTTCTTACGCCACCTTTTCTGCTCTTGCTACTTGTTCTGGTTAACAAAATGGGAAGGTACAGCCTGAGCCTGGGCAAAGGAACGGTTACTTTTTGCTGCCCCAGACTCCATGCTTCCTTTGTGCTGCTCCGGTGTGGCTCATGCAGAGGCCGAGGATGGGAGGAAATAAACGTTCTCCATGATTTGCTCTTACCATCTATCCACCAAAGCCAGGCATGGGGTGACGGAACGTCACTCGCTCCTTAACTGAAACTGCCGCCTTGAAGCGGAAGCTGAGTCTGTAAATTGGCTGCACAGATGCCCCTTGAAAGGCTTGGAAGTCTCAGAGCACACGTGTGATGAGCTGGGGTGTAAATGGGATCTCTCTGGACCCTCTGAAACAGATCTGGCTTATTTAGAAGGTGGGCCTGGCATGTATTGCTGAGGGCTGATTTAGCAGCCCGTCCCCAACCCTCCAAAGGCAAAACCACGTCTATCATATCCTTCTGACATCTTCCAACACTGGTTTTCTGTAAACACACCATGTCCCCTGAAGGCAGGGGAGGCCCGAGACTGTGCTGGCCAGGTACACGCAGCCCTTCCCAGGTGTGCCAAGCAGCCACGCCATTCTCTGGCCTCAGGTCAGTCTGCTGCCGCCTGTGCCGTCTGATGAGTGGGGGCCGTTGCTGCTGATCCCATGAATGCCTCTCTTCCCTGCTCCCATCTGGTGGCCCAGACATGACGGGAGGGGAGAGAAGCTGGTGCCAAGGCGAGGAGCCACAGCCCCAGAGCTGCTGGCCCCTCCCTCACTACTCAGGCTCCCCTCAGCTGCACAGATGCCCCCAAACTCCATCTTCACCTGATCTAGTCTGTCTTTTATCTTCAAAATATTCACCCCACTCTACCCCAGGAGCCATTCTTGTTTCCTTAGAATCCCCAGAGGAAGGACTTCATAAACTTTGTTGGGGAAATTTAACCCAGTTGGCTTCCCAAGGCCATTGGCTGTGATTTCAGATTCCTGCTTACGCTTCCTAACTTGGGTTTGCTGCTGTTTGAGGAGGGCCGAGGCCAGGGTTTAAACCATGGTTTGGGTTGACATTGGAAATTTGCGCCCCAGCCTCTTCCTCGGGGTGGGGGTCGCCCCTTAAGGTGAAGGGTCTCTAGCCCTGGATCCCCGTTGGAGTTTGTGCAGGAAGCAGCGCAGATGTAAAGCTGAGGGCACACGGAGGAAGCTCCACTTTCTGTGCACCTCAGCATCCTTGCCCTGCCCCCGGGTCTGTTTATGTCATGTCAGCTTGTGACGCTGAGCTTGGCAGGTGCAATTTTTTGTTTGTAGTTTCCGAATTTTCTCTTTTTCTGAATTTTCTCTTTTTCTTAACATAAGGTTTATCAAACGGATAAGAAGCACTTTCTCTGCAAAGACAAGTACTATGGAAGGAAACTCTCCGTCGACGGGTTCAGACAAGCTCTCTATCAGTTCCTGCACGACGGGACCCGCCTCCGGACAGAGCTGCTGGGGCCCATCCAGCGCCAGCTGCAGGCCCTCCTCTCGGTCATCAGGAGCCAGAGTTCATACCGCTTCTACTCCAGCTCCCTCCTGGTCATCTACGATGGGCAGGAGCCGCCGGAAAGTGCCCCGGGCAGCCCGCACCCTCAGGAGGCTCCGCAGCCGGTGCCCGGCAGCTGCCCCGGAGGCCTCCCCAAAGTTGACATCCGGATGATCGACTTTGCTCACACCACATACAAGGGCTCCCGGAATGAGCGCAGCACCTATGACGGACCAGACCCGGGCTACATTTTCGGCCTGGAAAACCTCATCCAGATCCTGCGGGACATCCAGGAGGGGCAGTGAGCGTGGCGGCCACCCGGTTCTGCAGCATAGAATCCAGAGACCTATTGTAGGATAGTCTAGACACCCCTTAGAGCACATGTGTCAAACACAAGGCCCGTGGGCCAAATCCGTCCCGCCAGGCCTTGCAATGTGGCCCGCACCGCACTGTCATCACTGCACTCCGCTGCGTTTCCATCACAATGACAGTTTATGACTGTTCAGTAAACCATTTGGCCCGCGATTTAGGCTGGATTTTAGATTTTGGCCCCTTCTCTGATTGAGTTCGACACCCCTACCTTAGACATTGTCGTCACAATCATAGCTACATCCAGGAGCCATCACTCCACTCGGGCTGAGTGAAGAGCTGCTGAAGCTGAGGAAGGCAGCTCCGGAGAGAACTCACAAGCCTGGCGTCCCATGCTAACTCGGGTCACTCCGACTGGATGGTCCGGGTGAGACGGCGCAGGAATTAGAGGCAGCATCACAGCGAGACTCTGCAGTGTTTGATTTAACATGCTTCCTTGTCACGCTGCCGTCCTGGCCAGCTGTGATGCAAACCCTCATTGAAGAGGGGCTCCCGGTCATGGTCTGCCTCATGGGCGGCCTGTGCCAAGGGCAGGCGCAGGTGAGGAACACCTCTCACCTTCCTAAGAGGCACTGCAGGGCGAGGGGGACCACGCTGCCCATCTCACCAGCTGCATGCCAGGTTCTGCACGGACAGGACAACCCCCGCCAAGCTAGCAAACCAGCACCCGGAGCCCCACTGCGCCTGCGGAGGAAAGGTCTCTTTCCGGACTTCCAAGTTCCTGTTGGAAGCAGCCATTCTGCCAGAACCTGGCGGTGAAATGCAGCTTCCAGAGGAGGTCGATGTGCATGCGGAGGAGCCTCTGGTGTTAAGCTACACACTCAGCTTTCTGTTTGTTTAGGGGGCCGGGGGGGTGGGGGGAGTCATAAATGAGGAGCCTGGAGGACGGAGGAAACCAGGCGCAATGTTTACAAGACCGGTGGGTGGACGAGTGTGAAGGCGAAACAAAGAGCAACCGGTTCTAATTAATTCCTTCTTCGGCGCTGCACAAGCTATTACAATGCCCTTGAGTGGAGCACAGATGCTCCACTCAAGGGCAATGGGAAATAAATTAGGGAAATAAATTTGTTAATAAAATTGCTGAGGTCATCAGTGATTATTTGGTGTGCCTTATTACCCTTTCCGTTTGTTTATTCTGATCATCACACTGTATGCTGGCTCCAATTTATGGGTGACTAGAGTATTCAGCAAGAACCGTTTACTCGGGGACCCAGGGGGAAATGGTAATAAAAGATTTGCATGCATCTACAAGGCAGGCTCCCGGCTTTCCTGAGAGCCTATACAATGCAAAACTAAGTAATTCCTGGATTCTCTGGCTAATTACCATAAACTTTCCAAAGCCCCGTATTATTAGAAAGAAATAGTAGCCTGGCTAACAAAATACTTTTGTTTAATTTTGTGATACACTGTATGAATTTCAAAGCAAGTTAACTTCTCACCTTATGTTCGGCTGAGGTGATGACCATTAATGTGCATGCTCTGTGCTCATGCAGCAGAGCGAAGTCAAAGCCTGTTGGGTGGCAAAAGGGAGTCAGCCGGGAACTAAATATTTGCTAATTTCAAAATGGAGCCCTAAATACTGCTTTTTGTGAGCCACTTCGCTACTTGAGAACCTGGTCTCATATCAACCAACTCCAAAGCTTCCTGGCGTCGCTCCGGATGCCTCCGCCATCCGCAGCCTGGTGTTGTGGGACTTGCCCGAGGACGAGTACGAGGTGGGAAGGGTCAGCTGGAATCTGTCTGTCCAGGCTGGCCACCCATCACTAACTGAGCTGCAGCCACTCTCGGAGCTGCCTCCCTATTCCTGCCCACATGATGCTCCCACTCTTGGCTACTCCTTTGCCCCACAGTGCCCTTCACGTCTGGCCTTCCTCCTCCTCTCGCACTCACTGGAGGCCCAGCCCGAATTCCCACCTCCTCCTGAAAAGGCCCCCAACGAAAGTGTAATTTGTTGCAAGAGACAAAGCTGGCTCCAGCTTTAGACCATTCTTACTGGACTACAGGACTCAGAGGGGTCACCATGGTCCAGAGTCTGGATAAGCTTTGCAGATTCAACAACACAGCTGAATGAGCCACCCAGTTATTGCACACTGGGCCTACGGGAGAAGAACAGGAAGTTATAGAAAAAAGAGATGGGGGTGTGTATGTAGTTGACCTGCAATCTGAGTTTACTTAAGGCCCAGATGCAGCCATCAGCCAGGGTCCCTGTACGGAACATCAGCTCTTCCCTGCTGCCTCTGCTCAGCACTGTGGAGGATCCAGCTCTGGGGAGCTTGAATTCTCATTGAGGAAGCAAGAATCACACACATGAACTGACAACAAACCACAAAGACATTTCCCACTGGACGGGGGATCTGTGCGGTGCAGAGGAGCGATCCTGAAATTTAAAGCTGAAGATGTTTGCTGACAGCAGAGTTGTCCCAGAAAGTGCTGGAGGAGGCGAGATTTCACCTAGACCCTGAAGGCTGACGGTGGGGAGGGGCTGGAGGACTGGTGGGGTTGGGCGTGGAGTGAAGGAAAAGCCCGGCACGTTCATGAGTCTGTGGACAGACCAGCCCGTTCGGAATGGGGTTTTTGTGACTGGGAGTAAAATGAAAAGTAGAAAAACAGAGTGAGCCTGATGATGGAGGCACTTAAAAATCTGTCCAAGTTGCTCATTCATTTGAGTTCTGTTATCTGTCCTTCTTCCTTTCTTCCATCTATTCATCCAAGAAATATTTTCTGAGTGCCTGGTACATACGGCCTAGTGCTAGGGCCTGAGTAGGAAATAGGAAGTGGGAGGATCGAGATGTCATCCTTACACACCTTAAGACTTAGCGAGAGTTCAGGCCCTCATAGGAAAGCATCACAGGTGCTCCACGGTGTGCGAGTGCTCCCAGGAGGGCAGAATGTGCGAGTGCTCCCAGGAGGGCAGTGTGCAAGTGCTCCCAGTGTGCGAGTGCTCCCAGGAGGGCAGTGTGCGAGTGCTCCCAGGAGGGCAGAGTGTGCGAGTGCTCCCAGGAGGGCAGAGGCGGAGAGCTCGCTGCCGCTCGGGGTGGTCAGGGAGGTGGTGTTTGAGCTGTGCCTTGAAAGGGAGGCAAGTCTGAAAGGTGAAAAAGGGCAGGTGTTCCAGGAATGGATTCAGCACGGGAATGGGGACCCCAGCATGCCGTGCAGGATGTGGTCTGTGTTGGCACAAGAGAGAGTGAGATGGAAATGGAGAAACCTCAGAACATGAGAGCAGAAAAGACCTCAGAACCTTCCCCTTCTCCAGTCCCCCTCGCCTGGAGCACCTAAGAGCCTCCCATACCAGAGGCTCCCACACTGGGAGCTCTCTTCTTTTTTGAACTGGAAAACACACAGGTACTAGGGTAGACTTTCCAATATCAGTAGCTTAACATTACAATCCTGTGTGGACTCTGAACCACACAGTCATCCAGGGACCCAGGCCCCTTCCATCCTGTGACTCCACCATCTTCACCCACAAGGCCTAAGCCTTAGACAGCATGGAGAAGAACATGCCATGGACAAGAACCAGTCGTGTGGCCTTTCCCGGATGCCAAGGGGCTGAGATGTCGTAACTGTGAGCCTACGAAGAGGAAGTAGGTTTGATGAGAACCCGGCCTCTGCCGTGACCTCTTTCTCCATCACCCTCATGCTGAAGTGATTTAACCTGACTTAAGAGGGAGAAGCACGCCCTAGCCGGTTTGGCTCAGTGGTTAGAGCGCCGGCTGTGGACTGAACAGTCCCAGGTTTGATTCTGGACAAGAACATGTATCTTGGGTGAGGGCACATCCCTGGTAGGGGAGTGTGCAGGAGGCAGCTGATCGATGTTTCTCTCTCATCGATGTTTCTAACTCTCTATCCCTCTCCCTTCCTCCCTGTAAAAAAAAATCAATAAAATATATTTTTAATAATGAAAAAGAAGAAGGGAGAAACAGGGACATGAAGAGCCAAAGGGAGCATGGGGGGCAGCAGGCCCGGCAGTACCAGAGCTGCAGTTCTGATCCTCGCCGTGTCCTCAGGCGGCGAGTGCGCCCCAAGTCTGCTAGATTTACTAGCATCTCCCGACCTGCTTCCTTCTCCGTCCACAGTCCACAGGAACGCTGATTCTCAGGGCAGGTGATGTGGAAGAGCAGCTGCTCCTGACCTCCTCAGGGCAGCACCAGGCAGCCTGGAGCGGCCCCCAGCCCCGCCTCTGTGCCTGGTGTCCCCGTGCACTGAGGAGGGAGCTAAAGGCAATGCTGTCGGGAAGCCCTGGCCTCCGGGCAGCAGCCTGGCAGCCCATCGCTCCTGCCAGCTGCGGGGAGCCTTTGGCCCATGCTGGAAAGGGCAGGAAGCAGCCTCATAAAACACTCATCAGCAGCTCTTCAAAATGATCTAAACTCTGGCTTGATTTAAATCTGTATCCTCTGTGGCCAAACACATACAACACTAGATGAGGGAAGGATCTGAAATGAAGGCGTGGGTGCCAAGAACAAGAGGGAAGGGAGGGAGGAGAGAGGGAGGACGGAGGGATGGGGGGAGGGAAGGAGGGAGGGGGGAGGGAGGGGAAGGGAAGGAGAAGCAGCTCTGGGCAATGCCAAGCTGAGTGCACCAGGCAGGCCTTCTCATTACCATTGCTCAGAACGCTCCCTTCCCACGCAGCTGCCCTGACAAGGGACAGGAAGTGTGACAGCTTATCCAAGAACAAAACCCAGAAGCCTGCTCCCGTTTGCCCTTCGCCATGCTCCCCAGCCTCTAAGAATGAGAAGCTATGGGAGCCGGGGTGAGGGTGGGAACAGTGGGTGAGGAGACCTGGCTTCCTATTCTCGGGTTCTCTCCCCATTCTCGTAGTGAGGGACCACCCTGAGCCGGGCCTGGGGTTGGAGTGGCTGGTGCTGTGAGGCGAAGGGCCCGAGGGGTGGGGCTGCGACTTTAGCTGCAGCCAGGGCCCCGGAGGCCTCTCTGGGTACATGGACAGGAGAGCAGAGGGAAGGGAGGGCAGGTGACAAGATAGTCAGCAGGGCCCCGGGCTCTGGAGATGACAGGGTGCACTTCAGGAGCCCCGAGGCCATCCCAGCCCCCCTCAAACCCTGTGTGTCCTGACAAGAGCTTCCTCCACAGAGGGCAGCAGCCGCCTTTCAGGGGACGGCTCGGATGCAGTCCCTGCCCACTTCCTATGGTAACATCTCTGGGGCAGCAGCCAATCATCTCCTCTAGGTGCGTAAGTTGAAAGAAGAAAATCAGGCAATCAGGCCTTACAATACAGCTAAGTATTTAATTCCTTTTAAATGTTTGCGTTACTAACACCAGCATCAAAAACAGACATTTTTACTTTCAAGCGATTTACACGTGCAATCCGGCATCTCAATTACTGGGGCTGTCAGCACTGGAAAACTGAAGCCGCTCTCTCCCTCCCCCTCCCCTGGCCTGCCGGGGCCTTGTTTCCATACGGTCACAGCTCCAGAAAGCCCAAGTCTCCCCTCCCCAGGGGCTCTGCAGGTGGGTCCTGGTGGGATTTTCAAGGAGCCAGGAGGGGGCTGCAGTCTGTGTGGAATGAGTGACAGTGGGCACATGGGTGTCAAAGGGTCATCAACTCTCTGGGGGCTGGCACTGGCCAAGCCACATCCTGGACTGGGCCCATTAATGTGCCCAGAATGGCACTGGGTGACCCACAAGCCAGTGACCAGACTTAGCTCCAGCCACCCACGGAGACATGAGGGTGTGGGCGCTGGGGACCACGTAAGCAAACCGGAGAGGACCCTCAGGACACTGACTCGCACAGAAACACATCACGCATGCAGTCCACAACCAGAGCGCTTCCAGGAGGCCGAAGAGGGCAGCAGCGTGGACTCTGAAGCCCAGGGCCTGCCATTTACCAGCCGGCAGCCTTGGCAAGTCCATAGCCTCTCTGTGCCCGTTTCCATCTCGGTAAAACAGAGACCGCCGTGGTACCTGTCTCTGAGCCACTGTGCGGACTACGTGAGTCAGTGCGTGAGGCATCGGGAACAGCGCCTGGCTCGTGGCCGACACGCAGTGTTAGCTGGTCACTGTGAGCCCGTTTTAAGATGAAGAACTGAAGCTCAGATGGATTAAATAAGCCACCCCAAACTGGCTGCCCGCTGCCTGGG